AATGAGTTCAAGGCCAGTCTGAACTACTGTACATAGGAGACCCTGTCACAAACAAACAAACAAGCAAACAAAAACAAATTTCCTACTGTTACATCCATATGAGCCAAAAGGAGTATGCTTCATCAGTGTGTATGGGGTTATGTGTTTATAGTTTATACTCTGGCCATATAAAAAATTAATTTAATTTTGAGAAAAATTTTATTAGCTTCCAACTAACACTGAACTTCTATGCATTTTTCAGTGAAAGGTCATATGAAGTATATTCTTATGTTTTTCAGAATACTCATTCTTCAGTTCATTGTAATTTTATTAAATCTACTCTAAAAGGGAGGAAGAAGATCAAATGTAGTACTTACTACAGAAAGGCAATGTACAGTCAGTACTCAATAAATGTTTTTAGTAGATATGATGTTTGACTATGCCCTTTGTGTAGTGAGAGCTTAGAGGACACAAAAGTGTTAATATTAAAGCACAAAAGGAAAGTATTTTTGTGACTATCTAAGACTGAATCTCTCTCTCTCCCTATATACAAATGTGATGAGGTTTTCTACAGAGTTAGGGAAAGATAAATCCTAGAGGGCTAGAAGACTGGTTTGATGGTCTAGCAGTAATAATAATGTTTCCATTAGCATAGTCTGACAGTGCACAAATAGCCAAGCCCTGATGTGGCAGCGCAGGGTGAGTCATCATACGGTTCTTCGGATATCATTAAGATTTAGAGCATGGCTACTTAAGAATGCCATGGTTTTGAAGAAGAGCTAGTTTATATTTTATCCTATTGTCTCATTAATTGTTAACAAATTAAAAGTGAAACAAAGTCCAAATTAGGTAAAATTGAAAATAACTGAATTTTAAACTATTTCATTTTGTTTATTTTTAAAAATTTGAGCCAGACTCAAATGAGGGATTTAGTCTCTTCTCTTCAACCTACAGCTCATCCTTTTGTGTTTATTACAAATTCAGTTAATTAATTGTAATACACAAGGCAGAACTTAATAAAAAAATTACATTACAATAGTTCAGGCAAAACTTGAGTAACAAAAGCTCTGAAAACCCAAGCATAAGCAAGAGAGTGTGAAGAGAGAAAAGAATGATGCCGTAAATTGGGATTCATGTCATCATATTCCTGAACTTAGAGTAAACCTGCCTGTAGCCTAGCATGATGTTATTCATTAAAATTCTCTTCTGGGTCTATACTTCATGCTTTAAAAATGCAATTTAAAGCTGAGCAGATAAAAATGATCCTTTCAATGATTATTCCTTAGGCTGTAAATTGACTTAGGAAGCATTCTGTATACCCAAACTTCAGGTTCATGATAATACATTTTTCAGATTCTTCTTAGACATTTTGTCTTTTTAACCTTCTAATAAAAGTTGCTTTCATAGTATTCACAAATCAGTAGTCCAGAACACAATTTCACCCTCTTCTGCTGCCATTGTCAAATGGTTCTAGGGATCTCATCTTGTACCCGCTCTCACTAGTTATCAGATTTTTGGTCAAGCAACCTAAGTATCTAAACAGACGCATGACTTTATTGGAAATAATGGAGATAATATATCTAAATGACAGCATAGAGTCTTGCACATTTGACTATTCAGACTACTCACTGACTGAAATCCTCCAATGCCCCTTTCATAACTTCAGGACGGGTGCCAGTGCCTCAACGGCTGAAGAACCTTAAACTTGGCCCTGTGCAACTCCCCACCCTTGCTGCGGCCGCTTTATCATTCATGTCTCCTCGCTGCAGCTGCACCAAATTATCCGCTCTTTAGATTTTTATGCGTTTCAGGCCCTAGTGCTTTTGTTGTTCTTTGGTTTCTCCCAGCTTGTCATTCTCCAGAAGCCTTACATAAGCCATTGCGGCCGAGTTCTTTCTTCGTTTTCACACATCTTTATGATGGTTCATGTTAACAACCTGGTATTTTAAATCATCACCATTTTCTTTCTCCAAATCAGGGTTGTAAATTACCTGAAAATGAAAGCTCTAGCTCTTATTATTACTTCTAATATCAGGGCCTCATAAAGACTATGGCACATATTCAGTGACCTATACATTTTTGTTGACTGAATAAATATTGTACTGTCATTAGTCAGTATGGGATATTTTAGGCAAAGAAAGAGGTTTGCCTCTAAATAACATCCGAGAGAATTCTTGTGCTCAAATTATGACATTTAAATGTATCAACAGTTAGGTTGAAATCAAGTCAAAGTTTTAATGTTTAATCATAATTTATTATTTTTTTTAAATTAGATTTCCTTCCCTAAAAAGAATTGACCCACATGACCTATTTTGATTTAATGTAATGAGTTTATCTAAGACTGCCTTTCTAACTTAATAATGTGATACTAAAAAGTTCAGACTTCTAAAGTTAAGTAAATTTCTTTACCTGTGAAATAGAATAAGAAAACTGAGAGCATGTTAACTTCTTCAGGCTATTCAATAAACTTTGGTAATTAATAATGCATTTTACAGTAAACAATATAAGCCCTAAACACAGCCTGCAAAGGGCAGTAATTTGTCTCTTACACTGAACGTCGCTTGGACCTTACTTTACACTTAGGCTATGACTTGATATGTGGTTAAAGAAAAAGTCACTAGAACATTGTGAGGACACTTCTTTGCATAGTTTTATAAAGATTTTATTGTAGATTTATTTTGTGTTATCATTACACTCCACTCCTAATAATTCAAGTCCTAGCTTGAGAAGTCACTAATCCCCAGCAGGATTATAAATGACTGTACTGCTACTAAATTTAACCCCGGTCACAAGCATTCATTTTAGCCAATAGTTTACTCTTTCTTAAACTGTACTCCTTCTAACTCATATAGGTTACTGCTTTTGCACTTTTTTTATTAGATATAATTGTTTTTTAATTTTTATTTTTTAAAAAAGAATGAAAACATATTAACAAACAGACAACCATTTACAAAGTAGCACAGGAACAGTACGAGCAACAATGAGCTATGTATAAGGTGACAGAGAATTAACAGTGGTTGTATCACATACTGATAACTTCAAAGTGGTTACTCAAGAAAACAAATACAGACGTGTAAGATTGAGCAAATAATTAATCATTAACTGTTCCTTTCAATAAAGCCATATGTCAGTAGTACAACTCTGTTAGCTATCCTGTAATACATATATACACAATTTTCCCCTTCTTTCTTTTCTCTTTTCGCTCATTCCAGTTGCTCTTTACTTTTGAGCAGTTCCCTTTCATTTCACAATGTTTGTCATACTTCCTAATTTTTATTCACTCTTTCAGGTCTTACACTAGTGAGACAATACTATTCTTACCATGTAGGTCAGATTTATTTCACTTATGAGTATGGTCTCTAGTTGTGACCATTTACCTATAAAAGCCTCAAGTTTATCTTTGTTTATAGCTGAGTAATATTCCATTATATAAAAATGCCACAATTTTTTTTATCTATTCCTCAGTGGATGGACATTTCGGTTGCTTCCATAATTTAGAAATTACAAATTGTGCTGCTATGAACGTAGGTGCACATATATCACTGTGATATGATGCTTTCAGATCTTCTGAGAAAATACCCAGAAGGGGAATAGCTAAGTTGAATGGGACCTCTAGACCTAGTTTGCTGAGGAATCTTCAGACTGCTTTCCACAGTGGTTTCACCAGTCTGCATTCCCACCAACAGTGGAGAAGGGTTCTTATTTCTCCACAGCCTCACCAGCATTTGTTATTTGATGATTTCTTAATGATAGCCGTTCTTACTGGGGTAAGGTGGAATCTCAATGTTGTTTGAATTTGCATTTCTCGAATGACTAATGATGAAGATATAATTGTAATAAAGAAATATTTTTGGATCAGTTTCTTCACTAATATAACAACAACAATAACGACAACAAAAATTCAATATAGATTTTAAAAATCTAAACAGTGTTCCTGCCAAGAAAGGGTAAATTGGAGAAAGTGTAGCCTATTTGATAGTCTTATGGTTGGCACTTTGTAATAGTAGGACTGAGATGGGTGACGGAGTACTTAATATACTCAGTGTTAGAAGATAGCCTTCAGCTTCAGCCTTTAGCTTAACCTTCTTATCAGCTGCATGAATTTGAACAAATTGCTTAACTTTTAGTTAAAAGTGAAATTAGGGAAATAATATGTGTTTTGATAGGTGTTAAAAGGTTTGAATGAGATAATTCATATAAAATAGTTCACAGTATTTCAGGCATTTATTATAGACCCAATAAATGGTAGCTGTTGTTACCTATAAGAAATTATTATAATAAATTTGCAATTTCCTGAATTATTGTGTCAATGTTATATCAGTGTTGAAATTTTAATTTTTTCATACAGTTATGTAGGAAGAATAACCTATCTTATCCTTACAAAAATACCAGAAAAATGGATTTTTCAGAGCCAAAAAGTATTCAAAGGTAGAGATGCACTTGAAATTGGAAAGAGATTTTAGAGTCTATATTACCTGATGTTGGAACACTCCACTCCATTTACCCTTTTGGTTTTAAGTATGTTGAGGCTATATAATTAATGTGTTTCTAATTAAGCTGATGCTTCTATATTAAACTTATAATGTGCATTTCAGTGGAGTTTGTCTCTTGACCACTGTTTTTAATTGATCTGAGATAACAAGCCCAAAATACACAATTTTTAACTAATTGCAAAAATCATTTGTTCATGGCTTTATTCTCTTCCAAATTATATTCTGATCCCAGGAGTTGTGAACAAAAGTATGTTAACATCATCACTGAGATTTTCTGTGAAATAGTCTGAGTGATGTGTTGTGCACAAAGGGACATATATGAGCAATGTTATGATTGTGGCAGGGCATTTATTTTGGGAAAACATTTAATGATAGCACCAAAACATTAACTGAAATGACTGTATAAATCCCATCTGGAAACTAAATCCCATCTGGAAAGGCTATTAAAAATTTGGGAAACCTGGTTTTAAAATATTAGGTCAAATTGTAATGGCCCTATCTTACTTTATATTCTTATGTAAAACTTACTTTCATCTCCTGTTTCAAATTCAAACTTCTGACTGTAGCCACTGTATCCTGTTGCCGTCCTTACTCGGATATGAAATATGTACATGGTGGCTGGCTTGAGACCCGTGATGATGACACTGGGGGCCTTGGACCTTGTGGAGGAATAGGTGAGCTGCTCATGCTCCTAGGGGACAGAAAAGAGAGAAAGGAAATGAAGCCAGCCATGTGATCCTGCGTTTTCCTAGAGACATTCCAAGGTTAAACTGAGGAATTATGTTCTGAATGTCAAAGTATTCACTAGAAGGAAGCATAAGCATGTCTTTATATAGTTTAGCATTTGGTTGCTTATCATTGTGATGTATATGAAATGACCCTGGTTTGCAAATTTGTTAGGGAAGATGATTATTCTTAGGTAAACCACACTTTTTCTTTTTTGTTTTTTTTCTGGTACTGGGAATCGAACTCACGACCTCATGCTTGCCAGGCAAGCGCTGTGCCGCTCAGCTAAATCCCCAGCTCCGTAAACTACACTTCTACTGTTAATGATTTATATGGTATGATAAAAAATTTGGCAAACACTTAAATTAAAAATTATTATAGTAAAAGATACATTGCCATTAATTCCTCTCAAAATATTCTCTCTCATTTGGACACACGTATCACATCCTTCTTGCTACTTTCTGAAGCAGTTCCAGAAGTCCTCTTTTGTGTCTTTAGCTACATTATTGTGATTGCCTGGATGTCCCACATCAATTCAAAACATTTACCTTTCATGGTCATTTTGATTTTGGGGAAGAATCGGAAGTCCAGTGGTGCCAAATCTGGTGAGTAAGGACACATCTTAATGATCTTGTGGCCCTTCCTTTCCATTGGATAGCACTTGGCAACAGTAGTCGCTATACTTTTTTTTAATCACACCTCCTAAAGACAGTCATGAAAAAGAACTTCTAGAACTGCTTCACAGTGGCAAGAACTTATAGGGTAAGTGTGTTCAAAGCGACGGGGGAGTGTTGGAAGGGGGTTAATGGCAATGTGTCTTTCACTGAAATGAATTTTTAAGAATTTGAGCACTCGTTCTTTATTCTAATCACGCCTCATAGATTTCCATCCAGCTCTAAGGAATAGTGGTGGCGTGAGAGCACATTTACACAGGATGGCAGCTACATCTTGGGCAGAATGGGCACATTAGGTCAGACCACACCCACAGAGTGCAAGGAGCAAGGTTGGGAGAATTCAAGTACCCGCTACTCACTTCTACCCGCAGGTAGTGCCAAAATGCCGGCGCTATCCGTGGGTAGACCTGTGGGTGAAAGAAAAAGATATATTAATCGTTTTTTAAAGTTGGAAATCTTTTATTCTGAAATGAAGTACTTGATCTTTAGATCAGTGGTTCCCCGAGTGGGTATGACAGAAACTGAGTCAATTTTAAGAAATAAAATGGTGGTTTTTCCTCGATGGAAAACTGACTCCTCCCCAGATAGCATAGCTAATTTTTTACAAGTTATATCGTGCAAGTTACATAGTGATTGTAACAGATTTTACAGTAGTCTGCTCATGAAAGAGCACTGAAGACACCGGGAGGTGTGAGAGACTTGCTGTACCGACAGAATTAGATTCAGACCTGAGATTTGATTCCTGGACTCCTAGCAATGTATTAACTACCATACTATTTCCTTTCACTACAGCAAGCAGAGCAGCCAGGGCATTCTGAATGATCTAGTGAGCGAGGCGCTTTCACTCAGGTTTGACCCTTACCTCAGAACAGAATAATTCATTTTTCCTATACTTATAAAAAACTGACCACAAAATGCTGATGGTGGGTATATATTAAACTTAATGCTGCTTTTATATTATCAAATTATCATCAATTCCTTTGTAATGGGTATCTGAAAAAGTTATGTAGCTTGAGAGGCTCCAATATGAAAATCTGCAATCTGAAATGCCCCCAAAATGAGACTTTTTGAGTGCCAATACAATGTCACATGTGGAAATTTTCACAGTGGTCTCACGTGGTGTGTCAATCAGAACTCTGGTGCACAAAATATATGGTATGTAATGATCTTCAGCCTATGTGCATAAAGTGCAAGTGAAACTACAATGAATTTCGTGTTTAGGCTTGGGTCCTATCTCCAAGACACCTCATATGCAAATATTCAAACTCCTCAAGAATACCAAAACTGGAAAAAATTTCTGGTCACAAAAATTTTGCAAAAGGAATAGTCTATCTGTATTTGTATGAAAAGCTCCTCTAGATTCTCAGGTCAAGTGAGCTTGACAGGCCTTTAAGTGAATTTCTATTTTTGTCTTCTAAATTGAGTAGTAGAAATTTTCAGGGATAGAAATAACTTTCAAATTCACTAATTATGTATAATATTCACATCAAGATTTCAGGAGAAATGAGAGGGTAGAGAGGGGAAAGAGGGGAGGAGATTGATAATCATCCATTTACATATTTATATATATAATAAATGCAGATATCATGTATTGTAAATATATGCCAATAAAAATAAGAAAAGATATTTCATTTATGTTTTGCCTCATCACTATTGTTGTTGAGATTTTCCTGACTAATGAAGCTACAAAAATCTACACATACAGATAATGTGTCAAATTGCATATATTTATTAGTGATGCTTTGAGATTTAGAACTATGAAAATCATTTCCCTTAAGCTACTTTTGAGAAAAAAGTTCTTATCTTAAGGATCATTTTTAAACTTTATGGTCTTATTTGTTAGAATTTTACATGCTATATAGTGATTTTGTACATAAGTAAAAAATTGAATGTACCGTCTATTCCCCCAAATAATAAACATTATTTATTAAATATGAAGGAGAGAAAAGAGTGATAGCAATTATTCTGTTAAATAGACAAAATAGAAAAATTGCAATTTATACATATTTCTAATTAATTTTTGAGATTATAAAGCAAATAAATATTTATCCACCTACCATAAAGTTTAAGGAAATAAAGCATATAATCATCGGTGGCCATGGTCATCGGGAACAGTTGAAGGTAGAAGCTGGCTAATGATGAAGGCCTTGTAATTAAGGAAGTTATATAGTCATGTTGTGGGGAAATTGTTTATAGACTACCAGAATAAAATATAATATTTCTAGTAGACATTTATAGAACATGCGGAGCTTACAATCTCATATACAAGAGGAGACTATTCTATCTTGCATATAATTGTCTTAGCTTATGAGTTATGGTGTATTTTGAGTGCTGTTTTTCAATTTGAAATGATGATTGAGAGAGGAATGGTAAAGCCATGAAAAATAAATTGAACTGCATCCACAAAGAATAAAGTACACATTCAAATGTTTGCTCTTAAAATGGCCTCATCATAATTAATAATTAGATGTTTGTTGCCTCACCAAAACATAGCTAAATAGTAACTTACTTCTTAGAAAAGTTCTAGGAAGTAATAGGAAGTAAAGAATACTTTTAACAGCAGTCTTTTGCTTTTCTGCTCTTATATACGCAAGTGCCTTCACAGCTACATCCCTGGAATAAAAATCCTCAAGCAGTGTGCTTAAACGGTCCCTCATCCTGACTCCCTTAACAAATGACAGCAGCTGCCATGTCTTACATCTTGCCATTTGCTAGCCTGTCGTGGAAGGAGGCTCAGAAAGAAGCAGTCTTGTCCTCACACAGTGTAATCACAGCACCTGGTCCTCCTAGTATTTTCAGTCTCTTGGAAAATCAAGTTGGTTTTCATCTGTGACAAGTACGGGACACTATTATCCCAGACTAATTGCCTTTCTGCTGACACATCAACTCCCATTCAAAGTACCTGTCACTAGGTAGAGACCACTCTTCACACAGAGCTTTCTAGATCTTCTTAGTCACTCTGGCAGACTGAATTCTGAACATATCTGAATAGACTATGTGCATTTTTTTGGAGTTTGTACTATAAGTCTGTGTTATAATGGAACATCTATTTGTATGATATGTGCATTAGTCAGATTTCCCCATCATTGTGATGAAATACATGACATCTGAAACTTAAAGGAAGAGAAGTTTATTGGCTCATGGTTTCCAGTAGGATAAGTCTCAAGTTAGTTGGCTTCAGAGAAGAAACGGCATGGTGGAACGGCCTGCCAGAGGGACAGCTCTTCACCCTATGGCAGCCAGGAAGCAAGAAAGAAGGGAGAGACAAGAACATGCCCTTCCCTAATGCCTCACTCACCTCCCACCAGCCCCACCTCCTATCAATACATTCAGTCGCTGAACTTATCAAAGGATAAATCAACTGATGAGTGCAGGGGCCCCACGGTCCAATCATCTTCCAAACATATGAGGCTTTTGGAATACTTTAGATCTAACCAATGATCTTCCAACTCTGGTCCCCCAAAACAAGCATATCCATCTTATTGTGCCAAATGCATTTAGTCCATTGTTAAGAGTCACCCATCTTAACAATTCTAGCATTTCTGAAAAGTCTATGTCCAAAATCTCCTCTGAGACTCAAGCCAAATTCTTAGCTGTGAGCTCCTATAAACACCAAAAAGAAAGTTCAGTACTTCCAATGCACAAAGTAAACATAACTACTCCAAAGTAGAGGATTGGGGACCAGAAAGACATAGGAGCAAAATAAGACCAAAACTCACCAAGGAAAACATTAAATCCTGTAGCCCCATGTCCAGCATCTTGGGCATATTGTGAGATGTAAATCCCAAAGGGGATGGGCTGCACTGTTACCCCCATTGCTTTTCTCTTGAGCTGAATCTGTTTGCTGCATGAAGCTTTCCTCAGGAGACCTTCATGTTCCTAGTATCCACAGATTCCTGGGGTCTCCACTCCACCTTTGGTTCACTGTTTTCAGTTTAACACTACCTTCTTAGAGTCACACTGCTTCTGACCTGAAATCTAAGTGAAAACTTCTGTGACTCTACAACTGTTACATTCTGCATGCCTGAAAAACCAGCACCATGTGGATGAGAACAAAATCTGCCACCAGCTAGTGCAGCACCCAGGCCCTCCTGAACCATTGCTGCAGCACTCTCTGAGTGATTAAACTTGGAGAACACTTTCCTAGAAGGCCATGAATAAGCTGGGCTCTCTACAAGCAATCTTCTCAAAGCATTTCCTTTTTATATCCTAGGATCTCTAAAGGGTGGGGCCTGGCAGATCAGCCTAAAAGCAGCCAGCAATATCCATGCCACACCCTGAATATTGGGTTGCCTTGAAATTTGCTCTGCCAGAGCAATTAGCCTACTGCCCTCAATCTCAGGTTACCCCAAAAATCTTAGGACATAGATAAAACTTAGGCAAATTTTCTGTCACAGCATAACACGTATGCCTGTAGTCCAACAGCCAATGGAATCCTTGTTCCCAGTGGAAACTTGAGCCTGAGCTTTACTGTTCCCATTCTGATAACATCTCTTCTGAGCCATGAATACTACTGCACATCAAGCGGTGCTCACAGCATTCTATCTGGCATTTCCTACTGTTTCCTAACCCCTCCCATAAACCAGTTCCAAGGCTTCTGAACTACATGGTCAAGTACAGTCACAGTGACCACACATCTCTCAGGCTCACTTTTTTGTATTAGTAGCTTAGTTGCTTCTGGGAAAGATACCTGACTCCAAAATACTCCATCTTGAAGGAAGAGAAGCTTATTTGGTTCAGGTTTCCCATGGGTTCAGTCTAAAATAGGCTGGCTCCAAGGCAGAAATGGCACGGTAGAAAGCCTGGCAGAGAAACAGCTCAGCCTATGGCAGGCAGGAAGCCAGAAGAAGCAGGAAGCTGGAGATAAGAACACACCCTTCCAGGCTATGCTCCCAGGGCCTTACTCCAACCAGGCCTCACGTTCCCACAGTGCATTCAGCTGTAAACTTATCAATGGAGGAGTGCACTGTGTGGCATGGTACCCGCATGGCCCAATCACCTTGCAAATACAGGAGGCTTTTGGGGGCATCTTAAACCTAACCCACAGTTATATATATGTATGTTGTTAACTACACTAGACAATATATTCCATTGTTCATAAATATTTGCTTATGGTTTTTTGTCTTTGCTGACTCTGTGGTAAAATTTCCCTTATCACTTCTCTCTTAATATTATTTATTTTTAAACTTTTTTTAAGCAATCAAGTTTTCCAAGGTTTTAAACCAACTTTTGCCTTCATTCTTTCTCTATTGTTTCTTTGTTGCCAATTACATTTAATATATACTATAGCTAAAATTTGCTGCATTTTTTGTCTCTACATTTTTGTGTTAACATTATTATCTTTTAACTTCTTATGCTTTGTGCTTATTAACTACTAAGTATTATTTAAATATATAATTTAAGTTAA